CCGGTTAAATATCGAAAATAACTGAAAACGATCTTTTGATTTTTAAGTTTAAAAAATCAGAAAAACGGGAGACGTCGCATTCATTTCATCTAATGCACATGGGTAAATGAAAATATGCGCGTCATGTCAATTCATAGAACGTGAGAACTGATTGACGGCAATTTTCCCCGTAGATGTTTGCCGAGATAGTCAGCGTTGTGCTAGGCAACCCATTATACACAGCGGGGTACGCGCGGTTGTCTACCAAGCGGCAACACTGACAGCTGCTTGCCGGTGTTAATTGAACGTAGTTTTTCTGGTCCACCCTGTATCATGAAAAGGTTCGAAGATGTGGCATACAGGGAATCAGAGTGACAATTGACAAGGCTTCTTTAAGATCCTCTGATCAGCTACGGAGTACTGGGACTTAGGCTTTTGCCTGCGCGGTGCTTCGGTGTAAAAAAAAGGAAGCAAAAATGCTAGTGTTGTGATGTATCGGCAACGCTGTTGAGACCGCGTGTAAGACAAAAGCTTGGATCTAGTTTAATATATTCCATTTATACACCCTAATTAGCTAAAAATAATATCATAGCTGGTCGAGCAAGGTCTGATTAATCATAGCCAAAAATAAATGGGATTAACTTAGCGAGTTTGCGGACATTTAGGTAAAAAATGCGGGAAGTCGTGGACATCCGGCGACCTTCAGACTGATGTATGATTTGCCACGAACACAAATTCAGGTAAATGTCCTGATAATGGAATATTATGTGGTTTTTGTTTTCTACGTGTTATCCAAATGTGCTACCAGGGCACAATTAATGAGTACGGTAGTTTTTTTATATGCTGCTGTATTCACAAACGTGCAGATTTACCTTAGGCAGATTAGTTCCGAAAGCTCTGTTGTTAGGAGTTTCCTGAAGTAACCAACAGTGGCGGTGCTGGAACATCCAGGGTGACGGGAAAATAGATGCGGAGCCGGTGGGGGGGAGACAGTACAAGCCAATCTTCGATTTTACTATAGGAAGTACTGTTCTAAAATTAGCCGTTTTCGAATTATACTAATTTTTAAGATGTTAGAAAATCAACGTCCTTTATACGTTAACCAAGTCATAAAACTTGAAAATTGGGTGTTTCATTTGATATTTTTTTTGGTTTTACAATACAGTGCAGTGAGTCTAAGCATTTGTAATTATAAAAATCTTCAGGATAATCTTTTAATTTATCCCGTATCATTTCCAACGTGGGCACCAAATTTTCTTTATAAAATCCGTATATTATACGACGAATATCTTCCTGAAAACCCACGTCTATTCTTTTTAATTTTTGCCCTATGCGCTTTCTGTGGAAGGAATGGTTGACTACAACTCCCCTTTTTATAACCCGATAAATGGTAGACCGACTGATTTTTGTCAGGATAAAAATTCTGTTTAAAATTTGATTTTGCGAGGAATCTAGATTTTCGTTTTTCAGACAATCATACATATTTAGGATTACTCTTTGGGTCTATTCCTCTAAATCTTTATGAAAGAATTCTGCCTGCACAGGTTCATCAACCATCTCCTCGTGGCTTGGAGCATTTTCCCAAGGTCTCCAAAGAGCCGTATTTAGGACACACAAGAACAATCAACACAACAATTAAATCAACAAGTAAACTGAGTATTCAAAAGTCAAAAACACACTTACTAATAAAATCTATGAAAAAACACGGACAGACTAAAGAAAACACATTTATTCACCGGTACACGGCACTGGCTAAACTGTTTCAATTTTCAGTAGCCACCTGCACTTGTTCGGAGCTCTGAAATACACGCTTTCTCATTGGCTATGTCCACGCATAGGGGTGCTTTACTCCACGTGGACCGGTGAAACTGCCTTTGATCGATATTTGCTGCGAAATTTGGCGATTTTTGCAGCAACAGAGCGTGTTAAATATAGATATATAAAACGCACCCGGTATTTCACAGTGTTTCAAGTGACTTCAGATAAAGTATATGATTATGTGAGTGTAGTATTTTTATTGTTTTTTCCTTCCACATCTTATAATAGTCATATTCTTAATCGATTTGTGATTTTTATACCGCATTTGAAAGGCAATGAAACGTAGATGTTTTCTACTTATTTTGTACGAAAAATTTGTATGCGACTTTTTCTACTAAACTGAAGCTTTTCAGACGAACAGGATTTTTTTAACAAAAATCGAACTATTTTGAATCTTACTGCATGAGATAACGTCAATAATGTACATTTGAGTATCAATTTTTGTATTTTAGAATATTTTTATTGTAAAACAAAAAAAAATCAAATGAAACACCCAATTTTCAAGTTTTATGACTTGGTTAACGTATAAAGGACGTTAATTTTATGAAATCTTAAAAATTAGTATAATTCGAAAACGGCTAATTTTCGGACAGTAGTTCCTATAATAAAATCGACTCAGATTGGCTTGTACTATCTCCCCCCATTGGCTCCGCATCTATTTTCCCGTCACCCTGTATACAGGGTGTCCCAGAAATAACACGCCAGAGTGACACGGGAGGTAGATTATCTTCAGATCAATCATATAAAATTAACATACCGTAGTAAAAGTTTTCTAGTTTCCACATTGATTTATACAACATTCAGGTGGTACCTGCACACCGCAATTACAGCAACTACAAAAAATATTCAGAGACTTGCATTACGATTCAGGAAAAATTCCCTGCAGTTGATCGCAAAGTTATGTGATATATCAAATAAGCATTACACTGATAACAGCCAAAAAATATTCTAAAAAAAAAATCAACAAAATATTACTATTTTTAATGAGCTAAAACCGGAATGAAACTTATTTTTTCAATATTAGTTCAAGTTTTAGAGATACGGTAATTATATGTGTTCCTGCTGTGACAGTGTTAATATACTGTTCACAAGAATGCACGTGCTACATTTTTATATTCGGCAAGGAAAAATGATGTAATCGGCATGATTGTGTTACGTTATACATACGTGTACATTATATTGTTTTATATTAGCCATTTTTTCCTCAGTTGGCTGACAGCGTTCATGTAAGATGTCTCGAAAGTGTGTAAACAATCCAGATCAGTTTTGTTACATGTGTGGTGATGTGACTTTTGAGTCTATTACTCCACTAATAACAAAGGCATATCAGCTTTATTTCGGTTGTAAACTAGGTGATCAAGACAAACAGTGGGCACCCCACATCTGCTGTAATACATGTGCTTCAAGTCTGAGGAGCTGGTTAAATGGCAAAAAACGGTCTATACGCTTTGCTGTTCCAATGGTTTGGAGAGAGCCTACAAATCATATTAATGATTGTCACTTTTATATGGTACCTTGTGTTGGACAAGCCACAGGTATGTCCAAGAAAAAAAAATCGGTTATTAACTACCCAAACATACCATCTGTGATGAGACCTGTGCCTCACAGTGACGAAAATCCTATTCCAAAATTCCCAGAATCCTACACATGCGAATCAGAAAACGAATCAGATCATGGCGATCGAGTGATTCGTCAGGAAGAAGATATGCCATCAACGTCAAGAGATCTTGATTTTATACCGAGCACGTCATGCCACCAACCGCACAAAATAACACAGTCAGAATTAAATGATCTTGCAAGAGATTTAGAACTTCCAAAATGTAAGGCAGAGTTACTTGGATCAAGACTGCAGCAGTGGAACTTGTTAGAAGACGATGTTTCGGTATGTGTTTTTCGTAAACGCCACAAAGACTTAGAACCATTTTTCAATATGGAGAATAACTTGGTTTTCCGCAGTAACATTAACGGCTTACTGGCGGCTTTAAATATAAACTATAACCCAGAAGAATGGAGATTGTTTATAGACAGTTCAACATTGAGTTTAAAGGCAGTGTTATTGCATATTTGAAAGTTGTTGCACTTTTACTTGGGCTGCAGCTAGGCTACACAAAGTTTTGCTGTTTTTTGTGTGAATGGGACAGTCGGGCAAAGGCACTTCATTACACCAGACAAAACTGGCCTGTTCGTCAATTCCTAGAGCCAGGTCAAAAAAATGTACAGCATATGCCATTAGTAGATTCGAAAAAAATTTTATTACCACCATTGCATATCAAGTTGGGCCTAATGAAAAACTTTGTCAAGGCATTAGATAGAGATGGGTCAGCTTTTCAATACCTGCGTCAGTAATTTCCAAGACTAAGTGAGGCAAAGGTTAAAGAAGGTATTTTTGTTGGGCCACAGGTTCGAAATATTTTGAAAGATACACAGTTTGAAAACACTTTAACAGGTATTGAAAAAACTGCTTGGAATGATTTCCGTCTGTTGGTCACTAATTTCTTGGGAAATAGAAAAGCTGACAACTATAAAACCCTTGTCAAAAATATGCTGTCATCGTATCACAAGATGGGCTGTAATATGTCTCTTAAGATACATTTCCTACACTCACACCTGGACTTTTTTCCTGACAATTGCGGAGCCGTAAGTGATGAGCACGGCGAACGTTTTCATCAGGATATTTCAACAATGGAAAAAAGGTACTAGGGAAAGTGGAATCCTTCCATGCTTGCAGACTACTGTTGGACTCTTGGTAGAGATGCTCCAGAAACGATCCATAAAAGAACAGCAAAAAGACAGCGCATATAGTGATTCTTATAAGTATATGAATCTTGTTACTTTTTTTAATATATCCTTAAAAATGAAAAGTTTTTTTTCTAAACTGGAACTAATTTTTTTATTTCATTGTCATTTTTGGATTCAGCGCCCCAAAATTAACAAAGAAGTGCACTTTTCCCACAAGATACAATTAAAAAACTAAAATTTGTTGTCCAGTGTTATTAAAAGGTAAATTATTCAACAGCTGAAACTCCTATCTTTACAGAATTTCAATGTGGGGGAAATATAAAAAATGAGATAAAGGATGCATTTGGAGGTTTTCTTCTTCATCAAAAAAAAAAAAAAATTAAAATCATTTGTTTTTTTCTTCATGCATAGCAAAGTAGGTGTTTTATAAAAAAACGATTTCAAAGGATACTTCTTGGTTTCAGGTGCAGTGAAAATAACACCAGCCCACGACCAGTCAGACTTCGAAGTCTCAAAACGTCATCAGTTGCAGTCTTTGAAGGTTATTGACGAGACGGGTTGTTTGACTTATGGAGAATTCCAAGGCATCCCGAGGTTTCAAGCAAGGACGATTATAGTAGACCGACTGGCCGAGATGGGGTTGATGAGAGGAAAGGAAAGCCATCCGATGACTGTAAGTCCATCTGAATTACATAGGCCAGAAATACGTAGTTTTTATTTCCAGTGGCGGCGTAGTGCGAGGTGAAATAAGAACAAATTGGTTCTTTGACGTTTCAAAGGCTCCGCATTTTTTAAAACACTGTAGTAGGGGTTGAAAAATGGGGATTGGGGATTGTAAAGGTTAGGCAGCTTCTAAATCTTAGTATCAGGCAAAGACGTTCAATCATTAAAAAGCTCCTGATCTTGGTAACAATGGGAAAATTAAATGATAATCGTTGTTACGATGCTGCATCGTCGTGGAGGTCGCTGCCGACTGTTCAATGAGTAACAAGCTCCCTAATGTTATAAATACCACCGCCAAATTACAACAAAATTTGGTAAAGGATATACATGAAATTTACGAAAAACCATTTTTTTTAATTTATGGTACATACTTAATTAACATCCTATATGTCTTTAACAATACACTGTTTGTTACTCGTCACACTATGAGTTAAATTTGATCGCTTCCTTTTTTACTACGAACTAGCCCAGCTGGCAAGGGGACATTTCGCCTTCTACCAGTTAATAGCTCGTCCTAACTTTTTTCCATTGATATTTTTTTTCAGGTACCTATATGTAGCAGATCTAAAGACGTTATCGAATTATTAGTGAAGCCGCAATGGTTCATCAACTGTCGAGATATGGCTACGCTAGCAGTATCAGCTGTTAAAGAAGGTGAACTGAAGATACATCCGAAAAGATTCGAGAAAACCTGGTTCGCTTGGCTGGAAAATATCAGGTGAGCGTATGTTGGATTTAGGCGGCGTTGCCAAGCTGCCATAAAATGTTCATAAAACGCTACATTTATACTGAGCGGAATGGAAAATAAATAAACGTATCGTCTCAAGGCCAAGTCAAATAGATCAACGATTGGTCAAATAAGCAATTTGAGGTTATAAACCTTTATAATTTCGGGCTGACGCACTTCTTTTAACTAAGTCGTGTGGTATCCGCGGACACGCCTAAAAGTCAAATGAGAATAGCTTCTCTCGCGAGGAGTATGATTTATAATTTTATTGAATGAAAAATGTATTTCGTAGGTTGCAAGTAAAAATGCGTTCACTACAAGTAATAATTAATGAATTCATCCAAATACCCGAATAGCACAACTATACGAGTATATTGAAGACGTTTTAAAAACGTTACGTAAAGACGTCTTGTGAGCATTTTAAAACGGCTGTTAATGTCGAAAAAACGGTGGTTTTTCGCGTAGTACGAATACTTAGGAATTCTACGTTTCGCCGTTTATTAAAATAACGACTCGAGATCGGTTTCATTCGATACCTAAATGATGAGCGATCATGATAGGGTGGCACTTTTATGATTTTGCGTTTTAGTTTTTTTTCTAGAAATTTTTAAAGTAAAAACGAGAAAAATGACGAATTTGCGTAAAAACTCCGATATTTCCTTTATGGCAAAGTGAACAGGAATTCCGCCGGGCAAATTTTGTACACCTCGTCGAGTTAGATAAATTACCTGGAGAAAGCCTTTTCCGTGTAGGGCACCCATTTCGAATAAAAAAATGGAGAAATAACTTTTTTGCATGTAAAGCGCGCTTTACGCTGTCCAGGATCTATCTTCTCCGAAGATAACGGAGATACGGAGCTAGCGACTTTTGCATGAGAAAGCCCATACTTCGGACTCGAAGATGAAACTATTTTCATCCCTTTATTTGTTTCCGTTGAAAAGTTTCGATTTTTTTAAAATTCCTCGACTATATGCTACTTTGCGGTGCATGACAAAGTTACCATGTTTTCGGCTTTGTCCGGAGCTATCGCTATATATATATATACAGGGTGTCCGCAAAGTTGGGGTTTTCCTTTTCAGAAACAACTACCCTTGAAATAACAAAGGTAATGTGTAGTGAAACGAGGGCGACCAAGTAAAAAGGAAAAAGTACTCACTCTCCAGTTGACGAGAAGGGCTAAGTACGTCTCTGCCCGAAATCATACCGCTCCAACAGAAAATGAAATCAGCTGATGCGCTACCGAGCAGACGCAGGCGGTGCTGCAGACCACGAACAGAGGTAACAAATATGACCATCGTGTAGAAACCACATTGATTGTCTTACACTTAATGGCACATCTTCTAACAAGGAAGGCAAAATGTTGCGTAAAAAGTCTAGGTATTGCATCCCGTCCAATCGATTTGGGAGAATAAATGGTCCAATGAGCATACCGTTCACCATGCCAGCCCAAACATTCACCGAAAATGTTTGTTGAAAATGTGCCCGACGGACAGCGTGCGGATTTTCTACTGACCAAACATGAGTGTTGCGAAAGTTATTCACCCCATTACGTGTGAACGTAGATTCGTCTGTCACCAATATGCACTTTAAAAAGTCCGGATTATTGTCATGTTGATGCAACAACCACTCACAAAACCGCACTGTTGCTGGAAAATCGTCAGGTTGAAGGGCTTGTACACGTTGGACGTGAAACGGATACAGCCCCTCTTCACGCAGCGTTTGCCACACTTTAGTTTTTGATACTTGCACTTCTCTAGCCATGTCTCTAGGGGATTCTCGTCTACGCGATTACCTCTACACGCGTGACCGTAACCGTCGGTTGAAGGTTGCATACTGACCTGACACACTGACCCCGACCCAGTTCTGTCGTCGGGTTGAGCCAGTGACCTTGTACCACTCGGTGATATCGCGGCTACAGGACGGTATTCAGATATTTTTGATGTTGCAGAGCCCTTTATTTCGGTTCCCTTAAGACATTGGTGTATATGGTACTAAGAAAAATTGCTTATGTTGTCAAGATCCACACGTCGTGTAAAGGAAAACCCCAACTTTGCGGACACCCTGTATATATATATACATATATATGCAAGATAAAAATTACATAGAGATTGAAAAATAAACATTTTGAGTGTAGGAAACGAGCCTGACTGTTAGAATTCCCGCCAGATTTCGAAAAAGCAAACTTTTAGGCCTTAAAACTTACCAATGACGCTCCGTACTTCGGCATACTTTGTCTTCTTCGATACACACCGTCGTTACGAATCTAGATAGTCACGATTTTTTTTCGCAGAACGAAAGACAAAAGTCTCCTGATTAACCCTATATACGTACAATATCTTCACCGAACGCATTTTTGCAAATAGCAAGTTATGCTGGTATATTTTGAGTTTGAGATGTACTTTCCTCTCGTTTCTTTTGCTAGATTTGGGATTCCCGTTAGGCGGGGTGTTGTAGGCATCAAAATATTACAAAAGTAAGCGCGTGCTAGCGGAACGACGATTGTTCTATTTAGGCATGAAAATAAACATTTTTGGATATTCCGAATTTCTAAGTTCTATATTATAAAACTACCGGGCTATAACAATAACAAACAAGTACAATCCTAACCGTCAGATAACAAACTACTAGTATTGATATAGCTTCACGTAGGCACAAAAAGATCTAGGAGCAGTAAGTGGATTCGCAGAATCTTCAAAGAGCAATTTTCGAATTCCAAACAAAAACTTTTAACAAGCATTTTCCATTTTAGCGTTTTCTGCCCGGAGAAAGTTTATTTAACAAATATAATTAAATTTTCTATGGACGATAATCTGATTTAAATCCTACTAGAATGAATAGATAACGGGACTAGTGCACAAACTAGGCCAGCAATGGGACTGCCAGATTCAACACATAAGCGTAGAAAATCCTCAGTTCTTTGCGGCGAGGCTTACCTTTCTTTTACAAAATCGTTCATTTTATACATGGTGACTTCGAAGTTGAGTCATTTATTTTAACAGTGAGTAGATCTGATCAAAAGAAATGTTTTTTTCCTTTACCATTTTTCTGGTAAAATTAAAGTAACAAAGTTATAGCCCTTTGGAAGTTTGAGTACCGCCCTGTCTCAATAATAATATTATGTGCTCGTGTTTGGCGACAGCGGATATAATCCGCCGTATCGGTTCATCGCATCGGAAACAAAAAAGCGAAAGAATTTGGAACGATGTTTTTACAATTATTTTATTCATTTGTATACAGTCAGTGTCAGTGAATAGTAGTGTCTGTTGCGTGGCTCAAACGAAATAAAAAATGGCACATGTTCATGCGGATCGGTTTCCCAATCGAGTGCAACCAACCCCTCGTTCCTTTGTTAATGTAGTACAACGGGCTCGTGAATCAGGTGACTTAAGACCACACAGGGGACTGCATGCCGGTGCTCCAAGACCTCACGATCAAATACAGGTCCGCACTGAAATACTTGTCGGGAGGATACTTTATAAAACAAGGTAAAAAATGTTTTTAATTTTTTTTTTATTTTTACACACATACTTTGGTTTATCTTCCTTCTACAATCATTATCTGAAAATTAATGACTCAACTTCAAAATAATAGATACGAGGTCTGTGATTTGAGTGGTGAGACTGATTTTTAAATCATTTTATTTAAATATAATTACCCTCAAAATAACTTACTTCCGAAGACACACAACGGAGACGAATCTTCCATTCCTCATAGCAGTGCTGGGAATAGCCTTCAGCTGGTCGGTTACAGCCGTTTGAATGTTTACGACTGTCCCAAAATGAGTTCCTTTGATGTGGTTTTTCAACTTCGGGAAGAAAAAAGTCACAAGGGCTTAAGTCGGGCGAGTAAGGAGGCTGAGGAGACACAGGAAAGTTTTACTAGCCAGAAAGTCCCAGTTACCCAATACCCTTTATCTAACGAACGATCTGAAAGCACAAGGATTCTTTGATATCTTCATCGGTTCTTGAAGATGAAGACTGATCCATTTAGCTTAGTATTTTAAACATCTTCATAGCAATCGTGGTACTTCTGGAAGCTTGGTCGTCTGACCCTTTGCTAGCAGATGATTGAATCCAAGAGGCATTTCAATTTAGATAAATTCTTCTGGTAGTAATAATATCGGGATTAGAGAAAAGAGAGCCTTTATCTTCAAGTCAAACTATCGATATTGGTCTCCAAAACTTGCAAAGGTCATTAATATAGACCGGAGATGATTTTGGGGCGAGAACCGATCCTTGTGGAACTCCAACACTCACGCTTGTTATACTACAATAGATATGGTATGGCTGGGGAAGATACCCGCCTTCCAAGCGCGATAGTTTGGTAGGATCGCTTTGGAATGCGATTTGTGACTAAAACCGAATGAAACGTGCAATATGAAACCACGTTGCTCGCCATCGATACACGAATTGGCGTCGGTAGCCGAGATACTTGACCCAATAGATAAACTGTTGCTCGAAATTTTTAGAACACAAAAGAAAACAAATTGACTGGAGCGAGTTCAAACTTGCTCCGAAGGCGGATCACATGTTCTCCTGTCTCGTCCCCAAGCTAGGTGCCTTCAGTGTTGTCAGATCTAACGCTGCGTTGCCAGTCTCATTACTTTATTTACAGACCTGGCATATTGCATTAGTACTTGTGAATATAAGATAATCATCCAAATGACACAACAAGTCATCGTATGTAAGGTAAACGTCCCAAAATTCGGCATTATAAGGGACTTTTCATTTCTAGATTTTTCTTAAACTTCAATTCAATTCAACTTATTTTCCATAAACTCATCTCTGTACAGGAATTGACTACAATAACTCCTAAGACTAAATGATACAAGTTTCCCGAAAAAACTACAAAAATTCCGACTATCTAAAAGCAGTTTTCCAAATGAGACCCCTCCCTCTCGTCTTCAATGAAAACCGGACAAATGCAAACGTTACAACCCTGTTGCTTTTCGGGCGGTCGGGGTAGGTATTTAATGCTGTTCAGATGTTGAC